TTGCAAATGGTGGATCGGGTTGTTGTGAGAGTAGCTATTCTGATGCGACCAGTGACTCCACCCCACCAACCAAGCTGCATTTCCATTGACCATGAAAATGCGCAAATTGGAATTTCGAAAATAAATTTTCTCAATGGAAACACGTCAATTTCGAAAAAAAAATACGTTTTTCGACAAAATAGTTTTGCGCTAGGATGAGGTGGTTTTTCGGTCGTATCGAAATTGATGTATTTCGCAAAACTGCAATGGAAACACTTTTTCGCTTCACGGGAGTCACATGATCAAGAACCGGCTGTTTCTACTGGTGAAAAGATGAGGAAGAAGAAGACAACAGGAAGTAAAAGTAGTAGTGAAATCACTGAGGTAGTAAAAGAAAGTATTAAACTCACCGATTACATTTTCCCAAAAACACAGGATACGTAGCCACTCCCAAGTATAAGGGGCTCGTCGCTGGAAAGCCTCGATAAGACGCCGCCGACGTCTCCTCTGATGATGAGCGCTAGTCTTGTGGTAGCAATATGCTATGTGTTTACATCCATCGCCACCATGTTTGTAATGACTTATCACGAGAACAAACGTATTCACGCATGACTTTAATAGCGTTTCTTACTTATTGGAAACACTGCAAATTGTGAAACTGTTTTTTTTTTACATTAACAGAATATCGACAAAGTTTGCGCACATTTGCAATGGAAACGCAGTGATTGACTGACAGCCTTCTGATGTTGCATTTTCAGGCCAGCATGGTACGCTTGCAATCCCAGCGAAAGGCTTGTTTTACAAATTTTTGCTAGTGGAAAACCCTTGGAACCATGGAGAGCCAAGTCAAACCAGTTGAAAAGGGGCAATAGTGTACAGACTTGGTATGTACCAAGCTACATATTGGGTAAATATGTGATACTTACAGGGTACAGGTACCAACAGGGTAGAGTCAGGCGATATTGGCAAAAACATTAATCACAATGAATTGTGATGATTAAAATATGACAATTACACTTTCATATCTTTGACTTTAAACCAGCCACCCTGTGTTTTCAAATTATACTTACCAATCATCAGTCAAACTAAATTCTTCATTTTAACAGGTTAAAATAAGCTTTGAATTGAAATGCGCCTTTTCCACAATCTGGAGAGGCAGCATTTCTTTAGTACTGCAATATACTGTACCTCAGGCTTATATATATGTGCTTGATAGAGAATGTGTCAAACACAAATATGTCAAAATGTGGCATTAATTGCAGTAATTGCAAGGTTACAAATATTAAGTGTTGACAGTTTTTTGACAATTAATTGCACACAATACTATTTACCCAAACCTACTACATAGTATGTTATAAGTCAAGACAAGTCACTACGTATGTGAAATTGATGGATAATTTATTTAAATTGTATTCTCATGAACTTTAAAGTATTTTTTTTTGTCAGCCTGTATTTAAAAAACCCTTGGCTTCTGTTAAAGATGGCTCCTTTTTTACTTTTATTCTTTCGTCTCCACTCTGCTGACACTGCAGACACATCCACATGAGGTAAACCAGTGTAATGATTACCGCAGCCATCAGGGTTTTCGCATGACAAGATCAAAACACAGATTGCACTAACACACAAATTCACACGCTCACACTTTCCGTTCAACTTGTGTGTGTGTGTGTTTTTGCCTTCTCTTCAGATCTTGAGTAACAGAAAAGGTTTGTTACCAGAACCAAACCTGGCTCAGCTGTTGACCAGTATGACCAATCCAGCTGCTTTGCAGATCCTCATGAGACCGTACCACAGTGGGAAGAGAGGAGGTATGATCGCAAACTGTACTAATAAATCTTTCTGCAAACATGAAAAACTTTCTCACAGACCTGAAACGCTAATGTGGAACACTAGAAATGATGCTTGAAATGATGGATGTTGAGTAAATATTCAGATGTCTTGTTTAGGGATGGGCAATGAGATTTTATCAATGATACTACTCTTTTCGATACTGCTTATTGAGCCGGTATTTTTATTTAAAAATACTCTTATCGACACTTTTCTGTGGGACTAAAACAACAACAACAACAACAACAAAACTATGAATATGAGATGCTTTTATTTTAGAACAATCAGTAATGTTGGTCAGTTGCAGACCGTATCAATACTAAATTTACTTGATCGATATTTTAGTTTTAGCTCATTGCTTTCTTCCAAAAATAAAATTTGAAGGACAGATGCACTTCAGTAAAAGGTATAAGACTATTGAATAATCTGGAAAATGACTATAAAAGCATTGGATCAGTTAATTCCTTTAAGAAAACGATCAAAGAAAAATTGTTAAAGAAATATGAAATTGTTTAATTTGTATTAGTTACTGTTTGAGGAGTTGAATTTTTTTTTTGCTTTCTTTCACTTTGATTTGTATTGTTTTATTGTGTGAAATGTGTTTTGTTTATTTTTTAATGAAATGAATGAATAATAATAAAAAATGCTGCACCGGAACATCCGGCAAGAGGGCAGTTCAAATATGAACGCTGAACTAAACAAGCTAACTGTTTAATCTTCAGAATCGACATGCTAATGTGTAGCAACCATGTTTATTTCTGTAAACACCATGCTGAATGTGACATCACTTTTCCTGCACATGCGGGCCACGCTTTGGAGCTTTTAGCTCACAGTTGTCGCTCTGCCGTCGTCGACGTCCTGTGTTGTTAGCAGCCCGTCCCGTTTGAGACAAGTCTGACATCCAGGAGAAGCAGGCTGTGAGAGGGGAAAACATTGCTCTTTTATTTTTCCCAAATTCTAAACAACACAGCATGCACCGTGACTACGCTCGTCATGCCACTACCCCGTCACTGTTCATGTTAATGTTTAGGCTGGAGCTTATTGATACGGTCAAAATTAATCGCGTGGCACCAGGGCCAAAAAAAATACCGGGTTTGGTTACTCATCCCTAGTCTTGCAATAAAATTACATAACCCTTGCCATACATGCAGTTCTAGTCCGTCTTAGCTGCAGCTGTTAGTGATTGTTCTGACCATGAAACTTTTCTGCAAAGCTGATTTGAATCAAACCATCAAGTCTTTAAGTTTCTGCTTGCTGTTCTAAACCAGCCATCTTTTGCCAATTGGCATTCTTTGTGTGATGTAAAGTGCTTTAGACACAGTTTTACTTTGCTTAGTTTTGTCATTGTAGTTTAGGGAAAAGTGCGCCTGGTTCTTGATGGGAATTCTGATCCCCTGTGACAACATATTAGTCAACTACCCTGTTCTTTTGGCTGCTCTCTGCTTTAAAGGAGACATGTCCTGCTTTTAAATGCTTCTTTTTCACATTTAAATCACTCAGCTGGGGTCTAAATAAAGTGGAACTGCAATGCTTTGGTCTGAATTTCTCCTTATTGTAACTCCACAAGCCCCTCTTTCACCCCTTTTTTGAGGTGCGTCTCAGATCAACTCATTTTGAGGCTGTCTCTTTAAATCCAAACGAGGCACTTCACACCCCGCCCCCATCCAGCTTCCAGAGCAATCCATTCTTGCTTGATAGAAGGGTTTACGACTATATGGCAGCACAAAAACTTTTTATTTGCAAATGAATTGAAAGATGTCAACAAGGGAAAACTTGTCCAACCAGCCTCACATGTTGGAGCCAGAGGAGAATGAAGACCACCAAATGGTAGTTGATAAATTCAGACCTTATTTGCAAATAATGGGATCAGAAAACGTCATAGAAATCAGAGAAAATGGGTTGAAAAATATGACCCAAACAGAATATAAAGATATCTTTGCAGCACAGGGACAGACTAAATTAAAATTTTCTGCACTCCTAGAGACTCAAAGTACAAAACAAAATGCATTTAATGGCTAAAAAAAGTGGATTTTGCATGATATGTCCCCTTAAGGGTCCCCACAGTGAGCAAACATGCACAAAAGATTTGGCAATTGTTTAACGCCAGATTCCCTTCTTGATGCAACCTGAGCTCAAACCTGCAGTCTCAGGATTATGAGACTATACAGCACTGACCACCGAGTTACTGCCGCCCCAGTTGTGTAGTAGTAGTCAACCATCACAGTACAAAAACGTGTACTGTAACACCCCCCCCCCCCCACTTGCTTGCTCACTGCTGATTTTACATCATCTTATAAGTTTTTAAGGCCCACCAGTGTCCCAGACTCATCTATTTCAGTAATTCATTCACTCCTAAGGGACTTGGCTGGTAATCAAAGAGCGACCGCCTGCCCGTCCCTCTGTTCGGCCCGACCGTACAGGCTTCTGTAATCACCTCGTCTTTATTATTTGATGAATGTCTAATCAGGTATTAAAATGAAATTGTGTGACATTAGCAGAACAAATGGGAACAGGAAGGAGAGAAGATGGGAGAGGTTGGGTGGTGGTGGTGGTGGGGGTGTTCTTCGAAACAGGAGCATGCACAATTAAAGTCTAAAATTAGGGCCTTGATTAAATGTTAAACTTTCTTCACCTACTATGATGGAACCTACCATTAGCATTGACGCTTACATTTATTATACGGAGGCCTTGTGGTTCAGGAGAACCACACACGTGCACATAAAAACTCTCCCAAAGGTGGGACCATGTGGCTAATTTTGCTAATATGAACTTTTTTTTAAGAATCCAGGTAATGCCTCATACAGTATGATGGAAGTTTTATGGTTTAACTTCCTGCGGTCAAAAGCAATTTCATGTTTTTTTTTTTTAATACAGCTCATCAGTCATCATTTCAAATGATGACTGATGAGCTGTATGGTTTGTGTTTTAAAAAGTACAAACCATAATTAGAGGCAATGACTTTTGTTTTAATGTGCGTTTTAGGAAAATACGGGCGTAACAGCAGCCTGCCGTTCCTCAGACCTCCTCTCACTTCAGCTCTGCTCACGCTGGGGAAAGCTCACCAGGTCATTACGACATTATCCTCCTGTGAGGTTTTCCGTAATGTGTGTGTGTGTGTTTTGTGCGTTACAGTGAACGTTTCTGTCTTTAACTCTGCAGAACGCTATGGTTGGTAATGGACTCGTCCTTCAGAACCTCCTGCACATGCAGCTGGCACAGCAGCAGCTCCTACACATCAAAGACAAACGCATCAGCAGCGTAAGACACCTGTTTGTGTGTGTTTGTGTGTGATGACTTGCATTAGTTCGTGGGCACCGACATACCTGCTTTTACGTTTTTCGTTCGCTCCACTTGGCGCATAATGAAGCCAAATTACCCTAAAATCACTCAACCTAATTGCCGTTTCTTTGTTTAAAGTGAGACCTTCAGGTGATGAAGTTTCCCTTGACATTTACATTTACATATTTTCCTTTCATAATGGCTCTCGTGTTTTCTTTAATTGCCGCAGAGAAAGCTAAAAGTCACGGTAACGGATGCTCGGATGCTTTCTTTAGAAACTCACAGACCCAAATGGTTTTGATTATTTTCTTTTTTTGTGTGTGTGTGTGTGTCTTTCTAGCTTCCCAAAGAAACATAAAACCATTATGCATTTTACTTTTTTTCTTTAGTTCATTCCCATTTTGTGCCTGTGGCTCTTCCAAATGACATGTAGAGCTWTGGCTAACCGAGAGAACAGAATGAAAATGGATAATGAAATATTTAAACTGTACACAGCAGTATGATTTTTGTCTTTTATCATTTAAATTATTTCAGTTTATTATGAAAAATGCCCTTAGATGACATTTTGTGGTAAATTGGTTTTATGTAAATAAAATTGAAATGAATTTTAGCCCCTGCCCTCAGTCTCCTCCTCATCAAATGTTCCTTTTGTTCCCATTCTTCTTTTTTTATGTTCTGGAACATTTTTTTCSTCCTTCTTTCTGTCTGTAATGCTCCTCCTCTTCCTCCTCTACCCCCCACTGCCTTCATCAGGTCTCCAGTCTGCTCGGGGACCCGTCCAGGCTGCTGATGCAGAAAGCTTTGTCTCTACGGCCTCCAGGCCTCTTGCCTCTGGGGAAAGGCCTCCTGGGAGACTCTCCCACAGGTGAGCAGGCCTGAGTYGTCAGCTRCAGAAGAAGACGAAGAAGAAAAAGTTTGTTTGACACCGCTAAATAAATTAAATAGGATCAGGCCTGCAGTCTGTCTCACCAGGGATGGCTTTAATTTTAGCATTTTGCTTTTTTATCTAGCATTTTGCTGTTTTTAACTAGCATTTTGCTGTTTTTAACTAGCATTTTGCTGTTTTTAGCAAGCATTTTGCTGTTTTTAGCAAGCATTTTGCTGTTTTTAGCA